GTGTGGGAAATGTAAGAAGTTAATGTGTGGGAAGTATTAGAAGTGTCATAAATAATAACGTGGTAGTGTAAGTAGAGTAGGTCCTAAAGATAGGCAAATACAACTGTAAATGACTTCCTAGACTGATTTCAAATATCACATTCCCATATTTCTTTGAATGTGAGTTCCTTAAAATTTCTATTTTTGTTACAATCTTCACCATTATTCATATGTCAATCAGCAATTTGATTTTCGTTTTAAGAGTTAATAAAGGGTCAGCGGGTAAAAATGGAACTACTGTTCTTTCAGTTTACAAATATATATTATTGTCACACATTATTTTTGTACTAAATTTTTTATTCAAAACTATTTAAGGATGTTGATTTCTATTACAGTTTATTAACGTGTACATTTCGTATGCACCAGGCATATTTAATTTATTCAATAGTAATTATCTCGAAATTCATAATGAATTTAAATGTCCGAAATATTTGTTTACACCTGAAACATGTTAATGTACTAAACACATTTATTTAAAAACCAGTTGTTGGCATGACACGGGTTATGTTCTTCTCATATATGTTATGATGGTATGATACTAAACCTCTAACAGGAAGGATTGTGCCTGATATTCATATGATGAAGACATAATCTTTCAATCAGTTTAATTGAAGTCTGGAGCTGGCATGTCAGTTAACTGCTAGTAGTCTGTTGTTATTTATGTATTATTGTCATTTTGTTTATTTTCTTTGGTTACATCTTCTGACATCAGACTCGGACTTCTCTTGAACTGAATTTTAATGTGCGTATTGTTATGCGTTTACTTTTCTACATTGGCTAGAGGTATAGGGGGAGGGTTGAGATCTCATAAACATGTTTAACCCCGCCGCATTTTTGCGCCTGTCCCAAGTCAGGAGCCTCTAGCCTTTGTTAGTCTTGTATTATTTTTAATTTTAGTTTCTTGTGTACAATTTGGAGTTTAGTATGGCGTTCATTATCACTGAACTAGTATATATATTTGTTTAGGGGCCAGCTGAAGAACGCCTCCGGGTGCGGGAATTTCTCGCTGCATTGAGGACCTGTTGGTGACCTTCTGCTGTTGTCTGTTCTGTGGTCGGGTTGTTGTCTCTTTGGCGCATTCCCCATTTCCATTCTCAATTTTATAGATTATAAATTTATATTTATCAATACTTATGGTCAAGATTGAACTTAAATCTTACGGTTATTCAATATTTCTATTTGATCAATTATGTTTAATTCAATACACAAGCGTGTAAATAATTTCTCTTTGATAAACGGAATCAATCTGTTATCTAACTCTGTTGACAAAATGACCGCATAGTCAGCTATAAAAGGCCCCGAAATCACAAATGTAAAACAATTCAAACGAGAAAACTAACGGCCTAATTAATGTACAAAAAAATGAATGAAAAACAAATATGTAACACAGCAACTAACGACAACCACTGAATTACAGGCTCCTGAATCCACTTTTATGCAAATCATATTTTTTTTTTTACTTTTGATTTTTGATTTTATATAGATTTTCAGTAAACAAATCTTCGTTCAATGTTTACCTTCAAAATTGTCTTTGCTTAAAGTTAAAGTTGTCAACTTTTTTCCATTTAATCTGTATGTATTTATAGATTTCGAGGAACACATCCGTTCGAGAGTACCATATAAACCCTTGTTTTGGTTCCGTTTAATTTAATGACATTGACATAAAATGAACAATATTGTAAAAGACCTACACAATTTTCAAGATCAAAGAAATAATTTCATTCTCTCTATCAGATTTACCATTGAAAATTCAAGCGGGAAAATTGCTCGACTACATCATTTGAGCAAGACACAAACTCATCACACCAAAAAACCTGCAACGACAATTTTTTTCTTTTCGATGAGTTGCCACCCGAAACACTGCTGTCGGAGTATTCTTTACAGCCAATTCATCAAATTAAAGCGAAGTTTGAGACGACTGAAAAAACAACCAAAGTCTAGAGGATACGAAAATATCATGGCAAAACTCAAGAAAAAGAAATATCCTCTAAGATTTCAAAGATATGAGGAACCGTACAAATAAAATTACACAAGTTGTCACCATTTACCTTTCTTCCCACTCGGACAAATCCTTCAGGTATTGTCCGCAAAAACTAGTGTCTTTTGTCCGCAAAAATCTTGTGTCTTATTGAACTTACATTGAAGGAAAAAATCACCTCCGGTTATTGTAATGGTTAACCAAAATAACTGCAAAGTTTGACTGTTAATCGAAATATAGTAAGTATGTTCTTTCTTGTCGAAAAAACAAACTGTAATTTGTTGGAAAGGATTTGATTTTTGGTCTGGAACTATATTGTGATGAGTTATACAGGAGCTACCAATTTTGTACTTACCTGGCAGTAGCTACCTTTTTGACGATAGAATTCTGAAAACTTATACTGAGCATGAAAAACGTTCATTACATCTATCTTAGCTCTTGTATTTAGAAATATTTAGATGTTTTATCTGGAACTCCATCACGAGGAGTTATTCTGTGCGAGTGATTTTCAAAAAATACCCTGCTCGGGTAGTCACTTCGTGTTTGACGAACTTTGATTTTTTATATTCACAGCGCAAAGAATATTTTGTTAAGAGGGGCTACTGTTACTCTTTGATCGACATCGCGAGAATCTCGTTGTTAACAGATGATATATATAATTCGTCTGAAATAAAGCCTAACAATGTTAGATATGTAAATTTGCTTTCAAAAATTTTTGTTCTTCCCTCAGCGGGATTCGAGCCCTTGCTTCTGTGACATCGTGACAGCTCCGCCTATACTGTGTCCAGCGCCCTAGACCACTCAACCAACTAGCCTATGAAATATAGCTTTCGTTAGTGGAGTAGTGCCTTTCCTCGTCGGCTTTATCTAGGGTTGTATCACAGTACAAGCGAGGTTAAAGATATCAAAGGGTCAAACCCATAAGTCGAAAATAAACTGACAATGCCATGGCTAAAAAAGAAAGGGATCAACAGAAACCACCAAAACAGGGGTTGATCTTAGGTACTATGGAAGGGTAAGCAGATCCTGCTCCACATGAAACACCCGTCGTGTTACTCCTATATAATACTTTTATAAGTTATATAAAGTGATAAGAAATCACGCAATTGCGGATTGGTAATTGACTCTTATCTAACCCTAAGGCACCACCAAATTCTAGACTATCGGTCATGTAAAATTTGCTAACCCTGACACTTGACCGAATGTGCTATTTTAAAATTGAAATACATGATGTATAATGGCAAGTAGGATGACATATCTTTCAGATCAGCTATGTTTTTTTCCGCCGTAGAGAATGATAATGTAATTACCATGCCGTCACATCAAATTATATTTTTTTTATTTTTACTATAATATATATATATATAGTATTACGTCGAAACATGTATGTTTTGTCTTGTAGTCATAATTAAGCTGTAATTATTCTGCCCTAGTACAGGCACTGTGATTAGTAAATAAAATTATTTGTATTTGTACTTGTGACAACTTTTTGACAGACATTTTCCATCGGATAACCCGTTGTTTCAAATATAGCAAAACAATATATATCATACTACTTTCCATTATACATCATGAATTGTGCTACAACCCAAGATAAAGTCAACGAGGAAAGGCATTACTCGACTAACGAAAGCTATATTTTATTGCCTAGTTGGTCGAGTGCTCTAGGGCACTGGGCACAGTGCAGGCGGAATTGCCACGATATCACAACGTAAATTTACGGATTTAACATTGTTGGGCTATATTTGAGACGAATAATATATATTATAGTGTTATTTCTGTATAAGCACGGGTTACCCAATTTAAAATGTCCGTCATAAAGTTGTCACATTGCAAAAATTATTGACACTGACGAAGGCTATTTGTCAAGCTGTAATATTTGTCAACACGATTTTATAACATCATCTTCGTATATTACTATCTTATTTAAGTACCGTTGTGCAAATCTTTAGACTTTATTTATAAAACGTCTAGTCACCGGTCTTTCTTACCAGGGCGCTAGATCGTTACGAGTAACCATATCTGTACACAATAAATAGATTATATATACGCCTATAAGTGTACAAAACAACACCTATATTAAAAAAAGAAACATTCAATATAAGTATGATCTATAAATATTTCGGATAACATATATCCTTCATCAGTATGAAAATGATGATGTGAAATGATTCATATCAATCTATTCTGATTAAACTATAACAATCTTTACAATTATACAATTAAAATCGGACAACGCTTGTATAATTCTAAATTTTCAAAATTGATGTAGGTTAATATTTAATGTGTGATATGAACTGGTGCAAATATAAAATTTAAAAAAAATATATACATTGTATATGTAAGACTCAGATCAACGTTCGGTCTCTAATCGACGTCCGTTCCTCAAATCGACAACTAAAAATTTTTGGCTTCTCTAATCGATGTTATGACATCATAAATTTATCAAATGGTGGGTTGAAACTAAAACTAGATGTCATTCGGTTATTTTTGTTGGGCTGTTGTCTCATTGTCGTATATCCACATGTCATTTACTTATATGAATATGAAAGGATTCGAAAACGTAGATCGAGAGGATGAACTTTACTCATCAAAATTTTTAATATGCATGTACATGTAAGATGATGTCGGTGGTTGTCATATTGTCATGTTCTAAATTTGGTTCTTTTATCAAAAAAAAAAAAAGATATAAGAAAGCATTTGGTTTCTTAAAGCAGCCTTACACAAAGACAAAACGATACAGATGATATAAGCAAAGATCAAACTAAAATTAATGATTACATGACATAAGACATCGATGAAAGAGACTGCCATAGATCGGACATATTTTTGGTAATATTGGAAGGCGATTAGAGGGTAAAAATATTGGAAACAGATTTGAGAACGACACGTCGTCACATTGGACGTCTATTTGAGGAACAGACGTCGATTAGAAACCGGACGTCAATCTGCGTCTATCTAACATATTTCTCATACACGTTACCTTCCAACTTTATGCATAGCACTGATTAGCCATTTTACATATTTATTGACATCAGCACATTTTTCTCCTTCTTTTATAGGATCAAAAGCGTCATCGAAGAAAATATGTCCTACAATTACAAACCAATAGATAAGCAGTAATCCCAAACGTTTATACTATCTATTAAAGAAAACTAAGTGTTTTTATTTAGATAAAAGAAGATGTGGTATGAGTGCCAATGAGACAACTCTCCATCCAAGTCAAAATTTATAAAAGTAAACCATTATAGGTCAAAGTACGGTCTTCAACACGGAGCCTTGGCTCACACCGAACAGCAAGCTATAAAGGGCCCAAAAAGTTACTAGTGTAAAACCATTCGTTTAGTTTATTATCAACGTAAACGTTGCGGAATGGTTGCGGAATTGAAAATTTCGTATTCACAAAAGCAGCGGAGATTTCGCATCCGTAAACGTTGTGGAATATATCCGGTAATATTTGAGAAAATTTACAGGACTTTATGACTATCCGTAAACGTTGCAGAAACGGGTACTTATATAAACTTCAATTTATTTGCAGATTAAAAATATGTTTGAAAGATTGTTAATATTAATATAATAATAATAACTGTAGTATGTATGTAAAGATAGCAGATAAGAAAATTAATAAGATGTTACTTCTATGTAATACTTATATGAATGATATGTATATATAGATTCTACCACTGCATCGAGTGTGATACGATATTTATCCACTCGAGACAGTTAAATTTTCAAATTTAAAACGCGAGGCTCGCCGAGCGTTTTAAATATTTAAAATTTAACTGTCGAGAGTGGATAAATATCGTATTACACGAGATTTGGTGGTGGAATCTGTTTCTCTAATGATTTTCAAACAATACGCAGGCAAATTTATTCCGTCTTTTCGAATGATCTGCAAAAAGATGTGTTCTTTCTATGTGACGTCATCAGGCATGATCGCCTTTTTTCATGCCGTCACAATAGGAAATTCAGAGGAAAGCAAGAAAACTCGACGTCATAATCGGATTTTAACCAATGAATAACTGAGATCAAATGAACCACACGTTGATTAAATTTTTTATACAATGGGTGCAGAAAGGGATAAATTGACGAAGAGTTAGAGAAATGTCTCGAGTGGATAAATATCGTATCACACTCGATGCAGTGGTAGAATCTATATTTATCTTACCTCCTATACATTTCTAGGAATTTGATTGGTTAAAAGCAACCGCGTGGAGACCAGTATATTTCATATTAAGTTAGTAGGCGGGGCTTATTTCAATACACGGTTATTAGTGGTGTTGTCGTCCCTTTATAAAAAAACATCACGTTGTTGAGGAAAAATCTTAAAGGTTTCAACAGACGAAGATGATGAACGATTGAAATAAATTCATAAAACACAGTTAAAGGTTATCGTGGCATTTGTTTTTGTATAGACAAACGAAAGTAGGTTCTTAATACTAAGTATTGAAGACCTAATCACTTTGATAGGCCATTAGTCTAAATACCACATGCTAATGATTTTTCAAAAACAACCGCGTGGAGACCGTGTATATTCCATATGAGGTAAGTAGGGTTATTTCAATACACGGTTAGTAGTGGTGCTACGTCCCTTTATAAAAACAACACGGTGTTGAGGAAAAATCTTAAAGGTTTCAACAGATGAAGAAATTGATGATGAACGATTGAAATAAATTCATAAAACGCATTTAAAGCTAACAAATTGTTATTGTTGGCATTTGTATAGACCAATAGAAGTAGGTTCTTTGGTATTGAAGACTTGATCACTTTTATAGGCCACTAGTCTAAATACCACATGCTAAGATAGTCGGTAAGATAAATTCGTTACATAGTGTGCTAGTAGCCTTCGCTCTCATCCCATAGGGAATTTACTGACCCCATATATATCGCATTAGGTCACTAGCACACTATGTAACTAATAATATCTATAATACTAAAATAACGAAGTACAATTTGTTAGCCGTCATGACGTAAAAACGACGAATAAAAGAATTCATATTTATTTATAACTAATATAGGACAATGGTGTTGATTAAATTAACACCATTCCAGGCCTTTTTGTTTTCCACTTGATTTGTATTACCTTCTTCTTCTCTGGATCTTTACACCTTTTATAGGGTAACCATACTTTCGTATGTCGAACAGTTCCACCACCAAAAAATAATGGGGTGGTAAAAATTAACAATCATAACACCACAACATTATATACACTATTTACATTAGGAACTTTCAAAGTTTTTATGACTTTTTATATGAGAAGTTTACAGTTTTATGACTTTGTACATGGGAAGTTTACAGTTTTTAAGACTTTTTACATGGGAAGTTTAGAATTTTTATGATTTTTTACCTCGGGCAGTTTAGATTATTGTGGTCTGCTGATACTAAATGTAAAAAAAATTTATGGAGTAAATCATATATAATTTACTTTTTAGATAATTCACAGAACATTAATTTATTTACTCTGTATTATGAGAGTAAATAGAAAAATTATGCTTTCAAAACTATTTTATAGTTAATTCGCAAATTTTTATTAACTGAGACTATAAGATTTAATAAAAGAACTATACTTTCAAAAATTGTATTAAGTACATTTTCAATTATTTATTTAATTATTCATTGCTGCCCCTCCCATCCTTGCACCCACTCTCAGGCATCCTATTTCTTTGCTTGGTCCTTCATCACCAGTTGATATCGTGCATTGTGTATGAGGAACACTAGCCTTCTTGTTTGGAATTCTATTTTAGACATCAGGTCGGATGTGATTCTGTATATCTTTTGTATTTTTGTAATGTCCATTAATACTTGAATTGTCATTTCACATGTAAGGTCTTCTTCACGCACATCCCCATTTGCGGTAAGAAGGTTGTTAATTGTTTGTAGATATGGATCTCGCAAGTAATTCCAAGCTTCACATTGTATAAGCAAATGTTCTAATTACAGAGTCTCTTGAGACTCTTGAGACTCGGTCTGATTAGTCAGACGGGGCACGTCACAATGGGATAAATCTGTTATGGGATTCTCATTGGTGAATATTAGCTTATTCCGGAAGAACATAGGCTGAAGTAAGTGTTCATTCAAGTTGATTGTGAAGTGTTGAATCAATATTTTAACGAAGCAAGGTCATACCAAAAAATTGATTCAAATTTATTGAGTTTTGTTCTGTCTTTATTCATTAATAATGTTTGCAGCACTGAGATATAAATATTATGTTACATACTTTCGTATTTATAACTAATTTGTGTTTTAAATCAGTTTCTGAGTTACAAATACAGTTAATCACTCATGTGTATCGTTATACAGGATAATCCTATTACACACTTATCTATAAATAGCCGAAATAGTTGTTTTGTTTTAAGGTGTATAAAATGCACACGTCGTGATTTAAGTAATAAACGCTATATCAAATATACCGCACAGTCGTTGTCGTGATTTTGCAGAGCCATTTACAAATGTTACGTTCATAAAAACATGTACATATATGACGAATCGCGTATGCTTCTGTCTGAAGTAATCACAAATTAAAGATAAGCAGGAACATAGATATACTGTTCCCGGAAATAAGTACCTATTAACTGATCTTCTCAAAACCATTCAAAAATTCTGACAACAGGTTTATTCAAATAGACTTATTTTCTATTAATTATAATGTTCTTTTATCCCGGGTCTAGTATAGCTAGGATAGTATAGAAGAGGGGTTGATTAATGTATAGACATGCGTCGAGTTACTTATCACGCTACCGTCCAGCACGGTACAATGAAATTCTGATGACAAAACAAATAACCCTCCCTTCCCAAAAAAATTACCTGCATTAATCTTACCTGCATTAATCGTGTCAAGCTTTTTTTTCTCTCCTTTGGAAATTGACCTTAGAATTCTACTTCTAGTTGACCTTAGAATTATGCTTCTACGGTCGACTCCCAAAGAGGAAAAGAATAAGAATTGATAGATTAATACTGGTAAATTTTTCAAGAAGGGAGGGATATTTTAAACACAAATGCGTCGGTAACATGAGGTCCGTTGGCTTGTTTTTCACAAACCCGTAAGGTGTTCTGAAAGCAGGAATATATATATATAAACATGTATAAAAAAAATTAAAGCTTTGCCAGGGTTATTTGTGCAAATAAAAGGTGTATTATAAATAAGACAGCAACCAAATTAACAAAGACTTCCCAAAATATGCAATCAACGCAAAATTCCTTAAATAGCAAAATCAAAATACACAAATTTAGCAGACTTTATGGCAATGAACAGAACAAACTCCATTTGCTAACATCGTAGAAAACAATAATCACAGCTTCATGTACATGTTTGTATTATAATGTTTTGACAACAAATGGTATATTATAGTTAAACTTTGATCGATGTATTTGCCATGGTCCAGAAAATTAGACAGTCATATATGTATAACAAAAAAAAAAGATGCGATTTGATTGCCAATGAGATAGATATCCACTATAGACAAAATGACGTAGATGTTATAAATATACGTCAACCTAAACAAAAATCATACTGCATTGCAAGCTGAACAAGGATCCGACACGACAAATCAAATATAATACACTACAACAAACGACAACCAATGAATGAAATCTATGCTTATTTGATTTTGCCACAGCCACACTTCCTACATGGCGGGGTTAATATAAAAATAAGAAGATGTGATATGATTGCCAATGAGACAACTCTCCACAAGAGACCAAATGACACAGAATTTTAAAGCTATAGGTCACTGTAAGGCCTTCAACAATGCACAAAGCCAATTTCGCAAAGTCAGCTATAAAAGACCCCGAAATGACAAATGTAAAACAATTCAAACGAGAAAACAAACGGACTAATTCATGTACAAAATAATGAACGGAAAACAAATATGTTACAGAGCAACAAACAACAACAACTGAATTACAGGCTCCTGACTTGGGACAGGCGCATACAGAATGATGCACATACATAACCATGTTTGCGGGTGCCCAATCTGGGACTTTGGTGTTAAAGCGGAACACACATCAATAAAAGCGCTGTTCCTTTGCTGTTTTTTTGTGTTTTTTATGACTGTGCATGAACTGACTTTGTGTCATGGATGGATATCCCTTACCCTTTCTTTTCTATTACGTAAGAACTTATTGCAAAAATCAGTTGAAAAGGCGTTTACTCATCAGATTGATACAGAGCTAAAAAATAATAATAAGAAAACCTATATAACCGACTTTAAACCGATTCACTCTATAAACATTATTCGCAGGAACTATGTACCCTTACAAACTAATGGAACCTGCTCAAGTAGGATATAGGGACAATTAGTTCCGCTTTAATACAGATTTAGGAATAGAAGTTCCGTCATAATAATAGTATCAAATGGAAACAAATATTTTGGAATATTATTTCCACTGGAATAAATATTATAGTATATGTTCCTAACGGAATAAATTATATAGAATATTTGTTCCAACAGGAACAGATATTATGACATTGTTTATAACAAAGTTTCCAGTGGAACTTCTGTTAGGCGGAACAAGTATACCTTGACAGTGGACTCTAAACCATTTTTGGTTGATTTATCTGACGGGACAATTAGTAAAAGATATTTGTCACACTTTTCTTTATCAAACACAAACAAATAAACAGAGAGTAAATAAATGACATGTCTTAAAAAAAAAATTAGTCATAAAAAAGTTTACCGAAATCAGTACAGGCAAAAACCCAAGTGATTCAGAAATTAGGCTCTTTCCACGGGTAAAAATAGCCACGCACAAAAAGAAAATTGTAACTCTTAAAAAACATATTGGCCTTTCCAATGTTCTACTTTTATATGCAGAGTAATATTTTGAATGGATGATACTACAAATTAAAAATCATTTTACAACATAATAAGCTAAAAAAAAACGGCAAGCTTTTTAGAAAAGCTATTACTTGTTGTTACCAATACATGTAATTAACAAGTTCCGGGTCGAATCCGATACCGATACTAATAGTATATGTCTTATTCTTCTCTTCGTAAATTCCCCCGTTATCGGAGGACCCGTGTCATACGGGTATTAAAAACCCTTAATTTTAATACTATCTATTTTAAAATCAAAAATTAAGAATTAAAAAACTTAAACAAAAATAGTATCTATATTCTTTCTTAAAATATTATTGTCCTAAAACAATACAGAAATTAAAAAAAAAGCCGTAATTGAAAACTATTTACACCTATAAGTGAAAGTGAATTAAAATCCAGGCTATAGGTATAAATAAGGCGTAGGCACTTAATTGAGCCACGAATCCTCGATGTCACGGGTGTTTTCTAGTATATATTTATTATACTTCATGTCAAAATGCCAGATTTTGATTGGTTAATACGAGGGAGACAATTTACTCTATTCTATGGTAAATACTCTATTACCCTTCACGGAGACGCTTGATCAAGTGTGCGCTTTATTAAATACGACTCTATCCTATGGCAAATACTATATTACCCTTCACGGAGACGCTTGATCAAGTGTGCGCTTTATTAAATACGGATGGTTGTTATGTACAAGACGTCATAGTTTATTACTTTGAATTTGAAATTTAATCGACAGTAATAACAGAACATTCAGTATAATAAATTAAATAACACATATCTGAGAGGGTGATAGAGCAGATTGTTACCCCTCGAAAAGACATTGTCAACCTTGGCTTCGCCTCAGTTGACAATGTTTTCTCGGGGTAACAATCTGCTCTATCACCCTCTCAGCTATGTGTTATTTATATAATATTCGCATAGAAAGTATTCAAAACATCAACGATATTAAAAAAAGGAATCAATAAATATAAGTACCTATAAATATTTCGGATAACAGATATCCTTCATCAGTATGATTATGATGATGTAAAATGAATCATATCAGTATTCTAAATTAACTAGAACAATCTTTAACGTTATACGAAATAAAAACCGAACCACGCTTGTATCATTCTAAAATTTCAAAGTTGATGCAGAATAAGTATTTACAACATAGACTGCTTAGATATGCATCCAAAAAGAATAGTAATGTGCGATATAAGTTGGTACAATTTTAAAAATGCACAAGTGACGAAAGTTAATGTCTTACAACGCAAAGACTGTGTATATATACAGTCCCAATGAAAAGCACTGTCCGATTTTAACTGGCATAATTCTAAAATTTCAAAGTTGAAGGTTAAGAAATTACAACATTGGCTGCTTGTTTATAAATCCATAATGAATAGCAGTGTTCGATTTGAACTGGTGTAATGCTTAAATATCGAAAAGACTAAGGTTAAGTAATAACAGAGGCTGTGTTTTCATACATCACAAATAAATAGCACTGTGCGATTTGAACTGGTTTAATTCTAAATTTCAGAGTTGACGAAGGTCATGAATTACAATAGAGACTACATGGTTATACAACCCAAAATGAATAGCACTGCGCAATTAGAACTACACATTTTCATTGATCCCATTTGGTGCCAGCGTTTTCAATTTTCTTATCCAAAATATTTCCCGAGTGATTATCTCCTCCTTAGACCAAGCAGTGTTGTGGTCTATGATGATAATAGTCAGTCGATTGAGATCTGTATTAGTGTGACCAGGGGATCTAAAATGTCGATTGAGGGGAAGGTCTTGATTGCATTCATAGTCACTACAATGGCTGTTCATACGTTTGTGAAATGACTGTTCTGACTCAACAACATACTGTTTAATTTATCTATTGTATACAGACTAGTTTCAATCTTTATCAGTCATGAGAGTTTTCTAAAATTTAACATTTTACCTGTTTTATCTATTTTATCTTTATTTTTAATAACCTTTACTTCCTGATTAAAATTTGTAAGGAAATCTGTGTAATTTGTACCTAATTTCACATTGTAAATAAAAGGTGCTTATTCTACTGTCATTATTCATGTATTTTGAAGAGGAATATATAATTTCACAATTACCTTCAAAATCAAAAGTTTCTACATCATCTGCATCCTTTGTTCCTTTAGCATGCAAGTCGTTTGTGTACTGTCTGTGGTCTAAACTGTAATTATCACATCACTTGCATAACTATATTACTTTTATAAAAAAGTGATGTTGATTTGAATAGGTATGTTTCCGAACTTTATAAATCTAAAAAAAACTTCCTCTAGTGCATCATACCAACTGAGACACTTCATAGGCCCAGACAGAAAGTTAGTTTGTCAAATACCAGGAATTTGAAGATCCAAGTGTTGAAGTTGTTTAACTCTTTAATTTTTTTTTAATCTAAAGTCCAGATAGGAAGGAAATTTTCTAATTTCCATTCATTTAAGAATTGAATGCTTCTTTTTGTCAATTTATTGGGGTGTATAAGCGTTGACCGAAGTACATTTTGGATTTTAAAAATGTGCGCACGGTCAACGCTTTTACAACCCTTTAAAATTACTAAAAGAAGCATTCAATACTTGTAATTACTTTTTTTTTGCTAGGATCATGAAAACACGATTTCTAACAAGTTTTTCTTTTATTTACCTGTGCACTTTATTGGGGAAGCTCGTGTCATCATGAATGTTACAATTCATTTAAGAATTGAATGCTTCTTTTTGTAACTTCATTGGGGTGTAAAAGCGTTGACCGAAGTACATTTTGTATGAAGCGCGGAAGCGCTTCATTCTAAAAATGTGCGCACGGTCAACGCTTTTACAACCCTATGAAGTTACAAAAAGAAGCATTCAATACTTATAATTACATTTTCTAGCTAGGATCATGAAAACACGATTTTTATCAAGTTTTTATTTAATTTACCTGTGCACTTTATTGTGGGACCTCGTGTCATCATGAATGATAAATTTTATTGTGTAATGAAGTTGATGAAGGAATAACGCGAGATTGCAGTTAGCCAATCAGAATAACGTATTATAATGAAACATACATCTAATGTAATTATTTTGAAATGAAGGTTAATTTCAGATTGACGCGAGATAATTGTTAGCCAATCAAATTAACGTTTTATGATGAAATATACATGTAATGTAATTATTGTACAAAAATGTATGTGCTTTAATTAAATTGATATTGACATTTATATCTAGTACGAAAAAAATACGAAATATTCAGTGGAATGTATATGCTTTTACAATATAAAGGTTTACAAATCATTTAAAATTACCGTCTATCATTGCTATCGTCTATGAAATGCTTAAGTAACGTCTTTTTTTTACCGGTCTTTTTTTGTATGTATATTCACCTAAGAACTTTGAACTTTGAAAGGGTGAGACAACTTTCAAATAAAGACCAAATGACGTAGAAGTTAGCAACTTTAGGTCACCGTACACAATGAGCAAAACCAATACCGAACAACAAGCTATAAAAGGCTCCGAAAAGACAATGTAAACAATTCAAACGAGAAAACTAATTGCCTGATTTATGCACAAACCAGAATTGTTTTTTTTTTTATTTACAACAACAAACAACAATCACTAAATTACAGGCTTCTGACATTGGACAGGCACATACAGAAAGTGGTGGTGTGAGACATTTTTGCGGGAACCAGCCCTCCCGTTACCTGGTACAATGGAAAATTGGACATCATAAGAACAAATATGCCAACCTAAACAATGATAACACTGCAGTTCTAGGTTTTGATCACCATGTGCCCATATGGACAAATATTTGCTGTAGATAGCCCCCAAAAAAAGTCTATCAAAGAAAGGGCAGTCATTCATGACCACTTTAGATTTCACAATAAATTGAAGAATTAATTGTCAATGATTTAATGACATAAAATTCTAACCTGAACAAAGACTTCAACAACTGTTCCATTTCTTCGGCTTTTTCGTGCCACATTGTTGCACAACATGCATACAGCATTTTCCTCTTCTCGGTTCCATTTGTTTCATCTTCTTCTTTCTTTAGAATAAAATCATTTTACATGATAACAAGCATGTTTTTTTTAATTAAGTATCACAACAAACCAGTAAAGTCTGAAATGAACTCTATTTTACTAGACTGTACTGATTTTTACTCAACCATTCTGAATTGTTCTGAATTTTACTCAATGTTACTCGACTGTAGTCTAAACCATAATGCAGTTGTAACATGTACTCGACCCTTATCTTGGACACATTGAAAAATCTGAACTCATACTCGAGCAGGCTGAAACAGTATTATCCAATTCTCGATCTGTACTCGACCTGTACTTTACCAGTTCTCGACTTATTTTCAGTGTCTTAACAATACTTGACAAAAGGACAGAACCATACTCGATCCAAATCTGAACCATAGTCGATTAAAGTCTGAAGCTTACTCGAACAATAAACCTTTAGCTTATCAGTCCTGATAATATAACTTTAGTTTATTCAACAGTAAACCACTACAAATAAATAAAATGCAAATAACTATGTTATTCTTGAATTAATTTTCATATTCATTTCTAATATATTTAAAGATGTGTTATCTCCGTTTAAAATATTTTTTTTTTATTGTATTTAAATTCTTTTGAAATTTTTATTCCCATGACCAAGCTTTAGAATACTAAGTAAATTTCTTGCATGGTTTATCAAACCAAAAACCTTTATTACATATGTGTGATTTTGCTTATCTGACAAATCACTTTCTAATAAAGTCAAATTTCTATCCACGGTAAACTTGTAAAACATTAACTCTTAATAGAAAAAAATAAGAGAGATCGATTAAGAATAGGTCGAAGATTGTTAAGAATTGGTCTAATATGGTTTCAACTTGGTCGAGTATGGCTTAGACTCGGTCAAGTATGGTTCAAACTTTGGTCGAGTATAATTAAGACTTTGGTCGAGTATGATTCAGACTCTTTGAAATGGTCACAAACTGGTCAAGTACAGATCCAGTACAAGTTCAGACTGTTTTAAGTATGATTCAGACTACAGTCGAGTAATATCGAGTAAAATTCGGACCAATTCAGTATAGTCGAGTAAAAATCATTACGGTCGATTACAAATAGGGCCCATTTCAGACTTATACTGCGTTGTAGGCTAAGTGTTGATTTAACTACCTTCCCTTTTAACGTTTTCTGATAAAATGTAGTACTAAATGCATACCTCAAAACTTAACATTTTTATAATATACAATAACGGCTATCTGAGGAGGTGAACATCCATAATTTTTAAATCTTGGGGCTTTTTTCCCAAACGTGTTATGTCCGACGGAAAACAACTCGCAAAAGATGACAAACTTTAATTTCCATCGACTATAATGATCGTATTTGTTTTATTAATTCGAAAAACCCGTAACTAGATAGAATTGAAAATTATCAGACGAGAAATCAGTAGAGAAAGGAATATTACAACTACCAGACATCTGCAACATAAGAATTAAAGCAAATCGAGTGACATACATTTTTAATCAAATATAGAAGACTGCAGGAAATGAACTAGAAAAGGAAATTAAAGGTTTTCATTATGTGTTTAATTACATTGTCACCCTCTACAGGTGAATTTGTCAAAGCAAACTTTTTAACTATGAACGTAATGTGATCTTGACTTGAACCAGTCCGAATCATTCTTTAATGGTAATGTTTGAAAGTAAGACAACAAACGACTTTTCACTGAATATAGGGTTTTTCAGTTTACCTGACTCGTCGCAAGTGTCAAAAGCAATCCGAAGCATGAAACTTTGGACTCAATATTTAAAGGTATTTAGTCGCTAACTTTTTATATATCAATTGCAATGTGAGTTGGGGAAAATCGTCGCAATCTAATCATCTGTCGTATTTTATTTAAAAATAAAATTAAAAAAAAAATAGATAGATTCGCTGCTCTTCTATTTTGTAGCTATTAGCTTCAAATTTCGAGTTTAAAAAAAAAAGATATGTGACGGCTTTGTTTGTTCTGGTGTGCATTTAGTTGTATGCTATTTAAAATTATACATGTGGCTTGTCATCCAAAATGTTGTCTTGAGTGGACTATTACTCCAGAAACGAGTGCAACATTATCATACTTTACCTCAAATTATATCATACCGCTTTTGAGTAAAACCTTACTTTTCGTTTTCCAGTAAAGCTTTGTGTGGCTATACTTATCATAATTGCTTTAGTCTACTTCGTTTTTATTTTAAACATCGGACATCATATTTTCTATTGTACTTCCTTGATCAAGTGCTTTTTTTAACTTTAGATAACGGTACTTGGTTTAGTTATTAATGTACTGCTCTTAAGTTATATTTCTTTAGATGCTCTAGCCTGTGAATTTTTCAATACATGTTGTACATTTTCAGACCCTCTTTAACATTGATTTGGTTTAAACGAGGTAATTTTATTTTATATTTGTAGGACTCGGAGGTGCGATGGGGACGCTGAAGTGCGATGGTCCACGCCGAAGTGCGATGGTCCTTTCGCTGAAGTGCGATGGTTTAGCATGCTGCTTGAATATTGTTACGTTTTCAAATACAATGTTACTTTTAAAAATACAACATGGATTCGCAGGCAAGGATGATAGGAATGAAAAATTAAAATGTAACGAACGATTAAAGTCCAGAACAGTTTTGAGCAGTACAAGTGGAGGTTACAAAACTATGTTAAACCATTTCAGGCGGCAAATCGTGGGGAGCAAAGCAGCTGAAAGATGAACTTGGTCAGTATGCCACAAACTTTTTGCACAATATATAAAATATATTGATTTAGATATAAATTTTGACTTCTTTTCAAGTATGCGTCACGTGATTTTGTGTAGACAAATGATAAAATTAATCATTAGCAAAGTGTTTGCTATATTAAGTTGATATAATGTTGTTTTATTCCCGAGATAAATCCTGCTTTGTAAGAACACTGGCACTCTACCATAATTTTATTGTGGTTACAGTGTTAATCTTCAACAAGTTTGGCCGAAATAAACCTGACTGGTCCCTACGTGTACTTCCAAATTTCTCCACCTCAGCGAGTTGCAGCTAATTTTAAAGTTTTTGTGGAATACGTGACACGTCACGCTATAAGTCAAGCATAAATATAATTGGCTATTTTTTACTTCTTTGACACTGTTCCGACATCAGATAAATGGATGAATGATTGTTGGGATAAATTTCTAAGTTAGTCATGACGTGAACAAATTATATTTTATAAAATGAGATGGACCCTGCTCAGTACTATATATAGACACATACGCTGGACCTTTTTTTTTATCGCCCATGAACACCCCATAAAAAGACATTTTCTTCCACTCAAACCCATTATCCTTATCTGAACCATCCAATCTATTTTCTGACTCCATACTGCTATGTGCTTATCGGAGAATTGGCAACTGTAAAATTAGATTTAAAAAAATCTTTGGTTTGACCTGAACAGAAATTAAACGAGCTTCCAAATGAGAGGCTAGCAGCTACTTTGGTCAAATCTTAATGACGTTATTTCATGCAGCCCATGTACATTTTGCTTTTTACTCAATGTCACAGGAAGACCATCGCACTTCAGCGTAACCACCATCGCACGTCAGCGTAGCTATCAACAAGTTAACGTCACAATGTCACCATCGCACTTCAGCGTGCTAACCAACGCACTTCAGCGTGGACCATGGCACTTCAGCGTGACCATCGAGGTTCGGAGTACCATCGCGGTTCCGAGTACTACATATTCACCATTGAGTACAGCCGTTTTTAAGATGTATTTGTTACTAATTGTGTAATGATTACCGTGCCTAGAACTATGTCATATTCTTTGTCGCTTCTTCGACGATTTAATGCCAATGAAAGGTCTATAAACATTCCACAATAGAATGGCATCACAAATATCCTGTGCAAATATTAAAATATCAATCTTATCAATTGAAATTATGTTTTGCATATACCTAAATATTCCGACAGAGTTTAAAGATCCATTTACAGATTGAAAAAAAAACTGTTCTGTTCATTCAATTGATGAATTAACATTTAAATATACATGTATGGTAAGCATTGCCTTTAGATAATGAAATGTATTATTGTTTAGTTTTAACGATGTTGTATGTAAAACTGTCGAGAGTGGATAAATATCGTATTGCACAAGATATGGTGGTGGAATCTGTTTATCTAATGATTTTTAAACGATATGCAGACAAACTCAATCATTCTTTTAGAATGAACTGCAAAAAGATGTGTTCTTTCTATGTGACGTCATCAGGCATGGTCACCTTTTTTCATGACGTCACAATAGGAAATTCAGACGAAAACAAGGAAATTTGACGCCATAATCGTACTTTGACCAATGAAGAACTGAGATCAAATGAAGCACACGCTGATTAAATAAAAATGATCAACGGGTCAGGAAAAGGATACATCGTGTAAGAATTATGAAAGTTTATTATAACCATGGCAATACATTACATATTTCTTATTTCAAACGATAAAAGGGCTATTTTACCCATTATTGAGCAGGTTGAACACTGTAAATAACTTACCTCGATGTCTCTCCATGCTTGCATCCATCAACTTTCCATATATGCCTTGTTATGAAAATCATGGAGACAGTAAATAATATGAACGCAATCAAGATTTCTAAGCAACTTTTTGGTAGCCTATCAATTCCTCTCACACACCAGTCAGAAAAAAATAAGTCACATGACTCAATTTTTAGAAAATTTGGATCATACATTAGACCAACTAAGGACATAGTTGTAACAATTGGTATCATAGTTAATATAGGACTGAAAGCGAACCTTTGACAGTTAATGACACAGACGATTTTGGAAGCTTTGTAACACAAATAGTCACATACAATGGTAACCATAGCTATTAAAAATGGCACATGACCTTGGCATATTGAATTTCGTCCAAATTCTTGCGTACCAAATAAAGCATATAAAGTCGACATTCCATGATTAAAGAGAGATTTGAAACCATCAATTGAGTTATTTGATCGTACACAAAAAACAGCAATTACTACAAGAAAAGTTATAACAATCTTCCATATGCTTACAAGGCATGTTACCTTAGTCCGGCCAGTTTGTAATTCGAATTTCAGCTTTTTAAAATGATTCAAATTTTGAGAGTTCTGTTTAATGCTAATAAAGTTTTCCCAATATTTTATAGAAACAAAAATGCTAGCTATAACAAACAAGCCGACCATCAAATCATGTTTTATGTACCAAGCAACAAATCCAATTCCAGTCATTTGAAAAACCGCCCCTATAACAGGAAATATAACTGAGATCTTTTTGGACTCGTTGCACAAAGGAAAACTGTGAGAAACTTGAGTCCCTTGTCTGCTTGCCAGTTTATCAATAACATCTAATACAGACGGTATCACTGCTACAGACATATAGACAACAGAAGCAGATGCAGGATCGAATACAGGTAATATGACGAATGCTAAGATTGTAAGACCAACAGAATGGATTGTTTCGATAACCAGTGCCTGAAAAGAATAATGATTTTGTATACCATTCACTTCTACAAATCGTCTGCCAACGTGTGATTATTATTTCATTTATAGCAAATAGTATTTTCATTAGCAACTGTAACTGTCAGAAAAAGGATTGAAATACATTTTTATTTGATGAATACACATGTATGAAAAATCGCTGATAATTTTAAAATGTATCATAAGTCGTTTTAGCATTCCCATTGCTGTACACAGATTAAATAGCAATACCTGTTTTAGGTTTATATGGAAATTAGTAGCAACAGATTTTCCCAAAAGGATATTATGCTGTAACCTTTTTTTAAACAGATGTAAATGTGTGCAAATTTGAAAAATACCCGTTTAGGGTAAATATGACTTTTCTTCACTAAAGTGTCCAGATTAAATCAACCTGTTCATTTATCAATACAATTGACATACTTTTGAACGGCTTGGATAAGTTTATTATTATTGCAATTTCAGGAGCCAAAAAAGTATGGAATAACTAATCGAGGAATTCAAATATTGAAAAAATATTCAACGAGTGACCGAGCAACACATTAACTCACAAATGCGCGTAACGCATGAGTTAATTATTAGTGTTGTTCTGTCACGAGTCATATTTTTCGATATTTGAATATATTGATTAGTTATATTTTTTATTACATAAACAATAGGCTTTTTAAAGCAGAAAACACTAGAAGCTATATCTTTTTGTATGCATTCACAGTTCGCTTTGATGCAATTTCATCGACAACGTCATGACCACACCCATGTTGTATGACGTCAGAGGAGTGAAATTATCGAGTTTATTTCACATGTGAAATAATCGGTTTTTCATTTCACTGTGAACTCATGGTAATTCATTGCAACCAATGTAATCATGGCTTTTTATCATACCTCCTCCTTTATATGTATCAATTATTTTACTGTATATTTTGGAAAAGAATACATGTTTTTTTCATCTGCCCACTATACGTACCACAAATAGTATTTTCCAGTTAATTGCTTTATTCGATTTAAAGCAAATTCTAAAAAACGTGGAAAAAAATGTTAATAAGTAGGGTGCAATGATGACAAGGAATACTGCCCATATCCAAGATTCGTCAACCTGAAAAGCGTCCAATTTGCAAGCTGTTGTGTTATTTGAGGAACACCGAGAACAGTTGGACTCCAACAAACCACCGAGTGTACCAAGTTTGTCCCTGCCTGACGGTAATGGAGGACTCGTGTGCCATATGAGGATATGAAGTGATATTCTTGCAACAAATCCACTGCAGATCACTATGATAAACAGAAATATGGCAAAACACACTTTTAAAATTTTCTCTGGTGTAGGACAATTCGAATCTCTTAGTTGCTCCTCATATGGGTCGCTTTCTTTTCCGGAAGATTCAGTGCTACAATTTCAACATCATACAATGTTTAAATTTTTTCGTTTCTTTAACTGATTTTTATCATTTCAATGGTGAAATTTACACTTTCATTAAGATGAAATTTATCGAGCTATCCAGAAAATAACAGTTTTAGTAAGAAACTTGAATACTAAACGGAATTATTTATGATAATATTTTGACACACAATTGTATCTTTAAACAATCAACTTGGTTCAATTTCGTCAACATATGCTAAATTATATTGCTGATGAATTATTAGTTTGAAGGTCAAAAACTCAACTCATGTAACTCCGTATTCATGCAACCTTTAATTTGACCTTTAGTCGGGATGGATTACACATGTGTTCAGCATGTGGACAGGATGTTCATTTATTAAAAATAAAAGAATATCAATATAGAAAAGTAAAACAAGGCAGAAATCAGAAATAACCTTATTCTTGCACTTACCATTGTTCCAATTGTCGTAACTGCAATCCCACCCAATTTTCGCCGAATGTGACCTACCGAATTAGTCTTATCACCGGGTTTGTACTTACATGAGCAACACGACGAATGCTACATGTCAAGCAGGATCTGCTTACCTTTCCGAAGCACCTGAGATCACTACCGATTTTTGGTGGGGTTCGTGTTGCTCAGTTTTTAGTTTTTGTTGTGTTTTGTGTACTGTTATTTGTCTTTTGGTCTTTTTCAATTTTTTGCCATGTCGTTGTCAGTTAATTTTCGACCTATGAGTTTGAATTTCCTTTGGTATCTGTCGGCTCTCTTTAATTAAAAAGAATACCGAAATATACATTTGTAATGTTGATTTCAACCCATCTATTACTTACTACATTACCATTGAAACTCGCTGTTAATTGATCATTGTGATCAAAGCATACCATGACCTAAAACTAACACATTCTCATAAAAAGCGCTTAAATATCGTCAGCCTAGTTATCTGGAAAGTTTACAGTTAAGACATTAGCGATTTTCTTTCATTTCATAGGAAACGTATGTAGAAGGATTGTTGATTAAAAAAATATTCGACATTTGTCTTAAAAATACAATCTTACTAACTAATTGGTTTTTTTTTGAGAACAAAATATATACGTTAATAAGCGTTTTGTTTCTGTAACAGCCAAAATAACAGCTATATAATTAAGTCTTTTGATATTTATGTTGTATTTTGTAGTCGTTTTTTGTTTTGCCATGACGTTGTCTGTTCGTTTTCGACTTTAATATCCGTTTGGTATCTTCCGACTCCTATTTATAGAATGTCGTTGTGCAACGAATGATTCTAAAACAACTCAATCATTAAAATGAAAATTTCTGCTGTGTTTATACCAACATCTTATGCATACGTTAAATAAGGCGACAGTAGTTTACCGATGTTCAAGTCTCGTAAATCGATGTAAAAAGGCAAATCACGATACAATAAAGACATTATGCGAATAGCATAAATTCCAAAAGCAGAGAGATTTGATGCGTCGACAGGGTAAGTGTATACTGCATGATTCAACCGACATGGGAATTCAAACTCAGTCAAAATATCACTATCGGGAATAGGACACAATTAGTCAAATTACAGGGGTCTGTTGTTCATCTTGTTGTTATTTAAACGAGTGTTTAAACTTAACGAGTCGTTACATAACGAGTCGTTTATTTTCTTTTGTACAACAGTATTTAACGTGTCGATTAAATAATCAATGCGTTAAAATTTTATCAACTGATTAATTAAGTGATTAAATAAAACCTACCCATCAAAGTTGAACCAAGCAAACTGAAAAGGCTTAAGAAGACAAACTTTACAGTGGCAGAAGAGGACTTATTTCAACAACTAGTTGAAAAACATTCAAATATTTTAAATGGGAAATTGACCAATACTGTAACCAATAAATTGAAAAACCAAATATGAGATGAAATTACAATAAAAATAAAAGTACGAAACACATGGAGAAACACTACAAGAGTGGCCAAGGCATTGTTTTCTAAACACAGAACTGAAACATTCAAAACTGGGGGAGGACCAGCTCCAAAGCCACCCACCACAGCAGTGGAGAGGGTTATCGACCCGATGAAGGACACTACCAGCTTCAGGGGGATTCAGGGTGGACTTGAAACAGAATCATTCCAGATAAGTAAGTAATTAATATTTAGCACATAAGAATATGTGCCCAAATGTTTTTCTTCCCTAATTAGAATTTCTTAAGGCTCTACCCTTTTTATTGCACTCTGTAAAAAGTGAACTTGGACAGTTTCAATCAACTACATGTTTTTATTTTACATAAACATACAATTTTTATGGAAGGCTAGTTGGCAATTGTTTTGAAGGTTTATTTTTATTGTTACTGTTAATTTTCAATGAAATCCGATGAAAATAACAAACATATTCGTAGCCTTTTTAATCCCGGGATACACAGTTTCCCTCATTCAATTTTGGTAAAAGTTTGCTCCGCCGTCACAACAAATAGGGGAATTCCCAAATATCACGTGACTGAAAAAAAAGAAGATTTTAACCAATTTTTTATTACTTAAATGATTGCCAGCGTGTTTCTTGTTGGTTTGAAGGTTTTCCTCTTGTTTAACTATTGCAAGATTGCATTTGTTTAAACTGATATCGGTTTAAAAGAGTTATTTTTCAACATTTGTTCACAAGTGGCAGGTACCCGCCACGTCGTCTTCAAACTGGTATCTGTTGTTAGATTAAAACGAACCACAATAGATAATTTGGAGCGAAAACCATTCATGATTTATAATACTGAAACAAATACGGACTGGTTATTATAAATCATTGCCCCCCCCCCCCCCCCCCCTCCTATAAAAAAGATAAATAAAATACCCAAACACAGTAAGTCAGTTTTTCTCTCATTTATTACAGATCCACATACTATCATTGCAACATTGCCAGAAGAAAATGCCAACCAGGAGTTGTTTGAGTCAGCAGCATCAATAATTGGCAGTCCACCCCCTCTCAGTCCACAAAGTCCATCTCTGCTGAATGGATATGATCCTATTTTAACACAGACAGTTGTTGAACTTCCATCAGATAAACAGAAACAAACAAATAGGACAGAAAAGCAGAAGTAAGTTATAAAGAACTCTTTTAAAATATGACGTTGTGTAAACAGGTTTCGCTAGTTTATTTGGTCAACACTTCTTTCTTGTTATAAAATTGAATTTGTCAATGCATGTTTATATTTTCAAACAATGAACCTCAAAGTGAGATTTTGCTATCAGTTCTTCATGACAATGCAGTCATTAATATCACTAACCGTGACAATGTTTCAAACCTAAACCAACAAAGTATTGACAAATTCTGCTAAGGACATAGCTTTATGTTACAGTGATATATCTCCTTATAAATACTTTAAATGTGAATTCATGACGGGACATATCAAATTATTAAAAACAAATGGTTGTATTCAAGTCATGTCAGCACCGTAGTAAGTCTCGGGGGAACCACTTCAATACTTAATTGATAGGAGTGCCGCTGGGTTTCTGTTACCCCACCCTTTTCATATAATTTAGATCTTTAAAATGTATACCTTTTCCTATATTGCGTAGGTAAAAATGTAACCTTTCCCCATATTGGTTGGGTTTCGTGTGGTGTGGTGGAAAAGTGGAATATTTAAGGCTAAGATTCTGTATGTAATGTTTACTTACGGCGAGACTTTCGGCTGTGAAAAAAATGACATGGCTTTTTATATACAAGTAATTGGAATTTTTTTACCTTATCATATATTTGTGATAGTTTTCCTCACCTATTCACATATTTTCAAGCCGGAAAAGTGACCTATTCCAGTGGCACGTCCTATCACCTTGTATATAGGAAGTGGTCCCTTAGTAGTAAGTAGCTATTTGGTTGGAAGTATGCCTTGGTATCGATCAATCAAAAAAGTCATCAAATTATAAAATCTTTAAAAAAATACATTATGTTTTTTTTATTTTTAGGAAAGTGAGAACACCCTTGAAAAAGGTTACAGTGCAAGATATTGATGACCTACAGTATCAAGCACTGCATAGTAAATTGAGAAAACAAAAGAAGGAGAACGTTCAGATGGACCTATAGCTAAGAAAAGAAAAATCTATAACTCCAAATAGAACTATTACAGAAATTAGTGGGTGACAATTCTGAACAGGTCACCCTCTAACAGGCACCTGCCTCTAAGTTTTAAACATATTAAATACATTGTTATATTGTTGATTTTTATTTTAGAAATTATTATGAGGCCAACAAATTTATTTTGTGAACAAACTCCTATGTAGAAGAAATTAGGGATTACAATTTTGCCACACCAAATGCACAGTTCCATCTTTTAAAGAATCATAAGTGATGCCTGAATCAAAAACTTATAAACAAATGACAAGTATTTCAACCAAAAACTCAATTATTTAAGGATATAATTGTACAACAGCATGAACATAAAGCTATCTTCTAGGTTTCATTATTTTTACATTTATGACAGCTTGCAAGGAACGAAATATGTTTGGATCCTCGCTGCAACTATTCTATTTGTACCTTCCCCAAGTCGGAGCCTGTAATTTTAATGGTTGTCAATTGTTAATGTATTTCATATTTGTTTTTTGGTTTATTTTTTTTTATAATTCTGGCCGTTTGTTTGACTAATCTGAATTGTTGTACAATTGTCTCACTGGAACCTATAATTGCTGATATTGACGACATTTGGTCTTGGACTAATTGTTGTTTCGGGATACCCCGTCGTCTTATTGGCAATCATACCACATCTTCTTATTTGTATACTGAAGTACTTGGCTATTGAGTTTTTGATTTTCTGGGCGACTAACTGCTCACCATTTACTGTACCAATTTTGCAGCCGAAAATGCACACTTCCTCTCTTGACTAAATGTTAAAATGATCTTGTAAAAATATGTTGCAATTTTCAAATATCCTCAATTAATGACAGACAATTGATGAACATATGGAAAAATAAAAACATGCAATTTATTAGGCAAAAAAAGTGGTAGCAAAATGGTCCCGTATGCCTTTTCCGTCCTGTTGACCATTATAGGGTGGCATCTGTGGTTGATTGTCCATTAATTGTTCTTTTGCAACGTCAGGTTCATTCCTCATGATGGCAATATTGTGCAGAATACCACAAGCAATGATGATTCGGCAAGCTTTATCTGGTTTCATTCTGATCTGGAATACAATTTGAAAAAATTTATTTCTAATTTTGAACTGTGACAGAAATACTATTTGTAAGTAAGATCACGTTGCTCATAAATAAGAATAAGAATAAGAATATTTATTATTCCAATCAAGGGCCCTTGATGGGCAGCATGACAAGTACACATGAATAAGTCTGAGATAAAATAAATCTATTATGAAAAAAATGACCTTCTTTTCTAGATAGAGAAACACAATGTGACATGTGCATATTCGAAAACACTATTAATGAAAAAAGGACCAAATCAGGGATGAAGCTGAGCAAATAGTCCAACTGTTTCATTCACAATTCATAAAAATTATAGTAATGACTAACTTGGAGCATCTACCCCAACCGGACCACCTGAATTTACCGAACCCACATTACCAATTTTCCAACGGGATCCCTGTTCTCGGTATAATTTTAGGGTTGTGATCTGTGTGATGAGTTGTCGATTGTGTTTTTGTCCCGGCTTGATATTTTACCTGTTTCCGAGGTCAGCTTGATCGGCCCTTATACAACTGATTTTTCTGTTTTCTCGTTTTTCTTATATATAAAAATAAGGAGATTTGGTATGATTGTCAATGCGATAACTATATATCCTGCAAAGTTAAAATGAAGTGGATGTAAGCAATTATAGGCAACCGTACGGCCTTCAGCAATAAGAAAAACCCATATCGTATAGTAGGCTATAAAAGGCCCCGACATAGAAGAGGGCAAATATGATTACCTCAACTTAGATTTAAAGAAATAGAAAAAATGTAATAATGAAATATTTAGTAGACAGCTCTCACAAGAAAAAAACCCCATAACTTTCAATTATAAGGGCATACACTATGTCAAGTATTCATATTACTACTATGATTATGTGTAAAGAATTATTTGTACCTCTGATCCTAGAATATGAAAGCGCTTCTTCCATATTCCAAAAGTCCTTTCTATTGTTGACCTTATTGAGCAATGCCTTGTGTTAAACCTTGCTTGACCTCTACCAGCAGCTGGTTGTCTGTATGGTGTCAGCAAAAACTGTCTGCAGGGATAGCCACTGTCACCTAACAGCACACCTTGTCCAATTCCTTGATATCCATTCTCAAGATGTTGTCCTATGGCTGAGGTTCTGAAAATATCAGAATGATCCTGGCCACCTAGCACTGATGTTGGTGAATCTATCTTTAAACAAAAATATGATAATTCAAAAATGGGAAAAGGTAGGTCCAAAATGTATTTGTCAAAGCAAAGCAAGGCAGTGATTGTGAATAAAGTAGTTCCACGGTCATTAAAATATTGGCCGAATTTGCAATGTGATGAAAACAAGATTATTCAGATAAAAAATACATAGCATCGAAGTGATGCTCCCTTATTAAAATTTCAAATTTATTGAACAATGACTGGCTAAGTGATTGGTCACTATTTCCCTACCGGAGGGGGGGGGGGGCTAAATATTTTGATAATTGGACAATTATTCTGGTTTTTTTTTTTTAGGGGGGGTTCTGTCTTTTCTTACAAAAACATTTAGAGGTAGATCCAGAATTTCTGAAAAGGAGGCACACTATTTGTTTGTTTATTTCTCTAAAGGAGGCCGGACCGAATTTTACCCCCAAATCCCTGTAAAATTTGAGAAAAAAAAAAACAGATAAGGGGTGGGTGGGCACATCTTTAAAAACTATTGTGATAAATAAAATTTATGTTAAACATAAACACTTAGCAGTTGAATATAAATCTATCTCATGATCTATCATACTTGAAAGTAAAAAGCAATTTACGGATCCAATAAAAAATATATGACAAGATTGAGTTGTCTTTCTTTTTACGTCAATTTTCTAATTAGCTGATAACCAGTTAAACAGAAAACCAGCTAATATTGTATATGGTCAAGGACGATTGAAGATATCAAGAAAAAGGACGCACACATAATGCATGTTGTAAACATAAAATAGGTAAAATATAGTGTTTTAAATTACCTTCATGGTCACAAATTGCTTGTACATTGATGCTGTGGAACCCCTTTCTGCTAACAAATGCCGGTTCATCAACGCTAGGCCCAGTAATCCGTATGTGGGTCCCATCAATGCATCCAACCACGTTTGGAAAACCAGCCTTTTCGTAAAATCCAGCCCTTATTATGTTCTTTCTCTGGTTATCTGGCCACGATATGAACTGATCCTTTCTGGCAACTAACGCCTCCGTCACATGGCCAATCACCCGAGACACAGTTGATTTGTCAAATCCCATTGTGTCCCGAACAACTTGCAATTGAGATCCACTGCCATAAAACCGCAAGGCAATCATAATTTGCTGCTCTACTGAAAGTGCTGTCTCTTTGTTTGTCCCACGCTCCAGATCTGCTCTCATTAAATCAGACAAGTACTCAATGGTCTCCTTTCCAAATCTATACCTCTGCCTTAACTCCTCATCAGTAAATTCCCTTTGAAGAGGGTCAAAACTCGAAAATGTCGCTCCCTTCTTACCACAGGTGGTTGAAACATAACATTGACTGCCATCTTAGATTGAGGTTTATCAACTGTTTAAAATTTAATCAACCTCAATGAGGTCGATTAAATATAACGACAATTTGACAATTTTAAACGACTCGTTAAATTTAACGACAAGTTGAAGAACATGATAAGGGACTGATTAAAATTTAACGCAGTGATTAGTAAAATTTAACGACTCGTTTATTTTAACGACAAGTTGAACAACTGACCCCAGATCAGACGACGAGATACTAGTATCTAAAAATCTAAGACAGCGAATACATGTTGCTAGGAAGTTGAGACACATCGTATCGGTCAACCAATTCGTGATAGTGACAGAAGAACTTGAAAAAAATGAGAACAACACGTTATAAATTGCATGCGTCCGAAGCACTTTTCTGGATTTACCTTTATCAGGAACGCTCAAAGCCGAATATTTGAAAGCCAAGGATCTATAAGAACCGAAACAGTTGAACAGCTATATTAACCAAAAAGGACCTAAAAAAAGTGAAGATTTCAGTCGTTTTCTTCAACTGTTGCAGCAATTATTTTTTAAGGAGTACACACCTGTTAGTGAAATCCGTATAGTGTGAACATGCAAGAGTGTAAATGAACATATTTTCACCAAAATTGGAACTGAAAGCTACCGTCTTATGAACATCATATGTTTCCTACTATGTATCTGTTCTCTATTTATTTATTTTATTTTTGTATTTAATTTTGATGTTATATTTGTTGTTCTCGTCGGATTTTGTCAAATGTCTTAACGTATTTTCTGTTATATTCGTGTGTTATGGTATAGATAATTAATCACCCCCTTCATTTATTAGATTTCAGTTTGGTTCAACGAAATTTATACGATATATTTGGTTTACAGTTTGATTCAGAAGAAACACCGACATAGCTAGATAATACAATTAATTATCTAATTACTACCACAATTTGATATTAATAAGTATTGTAATTTTCATTGTTATTAATAAATGTAATGGCAGTATTACAAATCTATCTTGAATCAATCCTAATCCTATCTTATTGTTGGGAAATATTTTTACAAATTCATATGTGACGTCACTTTGTGTGTTTTTTTAGAATTTCAAATGTGACGTCACTTTGTGCGTTGAGGCTTTAGCTAACTCGGCTGTGTATTTTTATATGTTGGATTAAGTTGTTTTATGTAATGTATCCGTTTTTATTCTGTAGTTAGTCCCCACTTTGGTTTTATCATGTATATCTATTATATAGTCATTTTATAATAATTACTGTTTGCAAAATTATAAATTATTCTAAATAATAAGGATGTTCTTGTCCCAGGCAGAAAATCCTGGCCGTGTTAGGCGCAACTTTTTGGAAGTTTTGGTCCTCGGTGCTCTTCAGCTTTGTACTTGTTTTGGCTTTCAAACTTTTTTTTATCTGAGCGTCACTGGTTAGTCTTGTGTGGACGAGACGCACGTCTGGCGTATTGAATTTTAAGCCTGGTACCTTCTGCTAGCTATTATTCGTGTGTTTCTTTGTCCTATATGTTCTCCCATTTATTTGTATTGTGGTCCTGTCATGTGATGTTGTCGTTTCGGTGTTGTGTTTGACGTTGCCATAAAAGCAGGAGGTTTGGCATGCCACAAAACCAGGTTCAACCATCCATTTTTTTCTTAAAATGTCCTGTACCAAGTCAGGAATATGGCCATTGTTATATTATAGTTCGTTTTTGTGTGTGTTACATTTTAATGTTGTGTTTTTGTTGTGTCGTTGTTCTCCTCTTATATTTGATGCGTTTCTCTCAGTTTTATTTTGTAACCCGGATTTGTTTTTATCTCTATCGATTTATGAGTTTTGAACAGCGGTATACTACTGTTGCCTTTCTTTACTCTAAACCTTAGGAATTTCGTATATATCCACATTTCAACCCGTTTGACTAGTGAACTTACAATAAGTATCAACTGTTATCAGATATTGACAAACTAACAATGATTGTTATATTGACTACTTTTAAATGGTAAAAAGTCTTTGTAAGTCACGAGGTTTGATTTGCATGATAAAAGGAATAATTTGCCAATTTAACACAATTCTTTGAATTCAGAAAGCTGCAAATCAGAGAAACCATTTTGCAATAATCTTTTAAGCGAGAAAAAATCAATCAATGAACAGCGAAACGCAATATTTGACAAAGTTTTGACAATTCAATACGTATCTACTTACGCCTCTGTGCTTTTACTTTTGGGACTATTTGTAGGAATTGTATCAGTCATAATTGGTTCTCTAGAAAAAATAAAGTGATTTTTTTACAATTGCCCACCGTTTTAACAGTTTACATTTTTTAATCATGCTACAACCAATAAGGATGTGCTCTATGTTCATGAAACAAAGTTACGAGCGGTCGTCTCAGTAACAATTGTTTAAATACAAATTTTCCAGAACCACTTTTCGATGTCACAAAACGTACTCTACTACACGAAAAACATATGTGGTCTTCAAGGGAGCTTTAAGCATGATGTTTGTTTTTCTGCTGTTTTTTTTTTATAAACAAATATAAATTTTATGGTTATTACTTAAACAAAAAACAGCATAATAAAAGCAAAACAAGACATCTAGAGGTCACTATTCGGTCTTCATCAACCGACAATGTCTGTAATACAAATATCATGGTCTCATTCGACATGTGTCCAGGTAATGAATAGAATCAAATATTTCATCAAAGAAAAAAAAAGACCGGTTTTATTTTGAATTTACACTCGATTGAATGAAAGGTACGTTTAATCGGTAGCAAGCACCTATTCGCCGTACAATATCAAGAGTTTTGTCTAATCAGTGAAAGATTAAAAGATAGAGGTATTAATATACAGTAAAAATAAATCTAGAAGAAGTCCAATTTGATGTTGATATCATTGTTGCTATCCGAAAAAAAAAATAATTGTCGTGTGCATATAATAAATTTCATACGTTTACAGAAAAGAAATGAATTCTAAGGTACAATTAAAATCATTCGTTGAAGAAAGATAACACTTGAACAGCAAGCAAAGGACAACTTATTTTCCTTATATAATATACTAAAAAAGAAACTTTGAGCAACACGAACACCACAAATACAAGGGTTAATTCCGGTTTCAAAAGTGGTCGAGGTCTTTGATTGAATAGTGCCACCACACGCATTATTTTCAAAAGAATGTTCACCCGAATAATTAAGTTGTAATATTCAGCAGCTCTGCGATAGCTATATTAACGCCTGAAGAATTAGTCAATGGAAAATCGTCAATTACCATTCGGAATTAGCTCTGGATTTTTCTATTTTGATAACATTAAGCTGTCTGCTGATGGGCTCTCTCACCCAGAAAGCACCTATCAAAATCTGTGATTCGCGACACATTTTTATCGTATAAAAAATTCAGGCCCTTGCAAACGGGAGAGTCGATCACGGGGAGGGACTGAATTATTCGGGTTGTACGAATGTGGAAATAGTCGGCGATAAAGGTTTATTCAATAGAGGATTGCCAAATGTCGCTTGTCTAACCATAGCATGAAACATACTATTCATATACACTCGATACTTTTATTCACATACCCTTAAACATGACCGAGAGAAGTTTTTGAATTAAAACAAAAAGGAAAGAGGGGATTAATTTACAAGACATTATCAGTTGTAAGAATATTTTTGGCTGATTGAATCATCAGACTGCAAAATTTCAATTGTCTTTTTGATAATTTATCAGTTCGATTTGGTCGCATACTCTTTTTACCATGAGAATGCGATCGACAAGAACTCGTTACCATAATAGTTTTACCTGATATATCACTGGGACATTGTCAGTTATTTTTGTGTAAATATTAACATAATCATTAGTCGTTTAGACATCCTAAGTTTTACAAGATTTAAATTGAATGCACTTTTTCAACTTACATTATGTACTTCAAACAAATTGCTGAATAGAATTTGCTATGGTAATTCTTTGTTATTCATGACACTAAATACATTGCATCACAATATGCTCAATTTCACCTTGAGTTTTAAAAATGCTTGATTTGCAATCTTTTATGACAGCGTTGTAATAATATATGTTGGACTTAAACTGCATTGATAGTTGTTTAGATAAAATACGACGAATAAACAATTTGACAAATAGTAAAAATTTCCAATCAAAGTAAAATAGGGTCAAAGAGTCTTGTATACTGATACCAGTATTGTATACAAATGGAATACAAAATAACAGATGTTTAGGAACGAAAATTCTTTAACATATATTTATTTTGTAAACATACTTTTCAAATAAAATGTTCATTAACTTCGATGTCGTCAACAAATTATGCCTTAAAATTTAATTTGGAAAAAACTACTCCAGTTTGCCTTCAGACTCAACTAAAAGTTATGAAGAAAATTTTGCTTTCATTGTGATCACATTGTTGATTTGCTTTTATATTCTAAAAGTAGGAGAGTAACTTGTCAAAGAAAAATAAAAGCATTAAGTATGAAATGTAGTTATATTGTTTTTATCTTTCTTTAAAGTGATGAACAATGGACTAGCAACAAGCGATTAAGAATTTTCTGACTGGATTTCATTAATAATTCTCTAAAGAGTTCGTGATGAAAAAAAACCCCTACTAATACAGTTTCAATCCTAGTTACATACATACAACTAGCACCAGGGATCAACTTATATTTGGTCAGATGAGACATTTTTAAAGGGTTATGTCTATGATCTTTGAAATTTACTTCACACTCGAATCATCTGAATCTTTATCAAGTTCACAGTATCATGGTTTTGAATAGTTTCTAACAACATTTTGACGTATTTCTGTGCATGTTACCATACAATTAATGTCTGAATATGGACAATTTAATAAATTATCATTAGGACAAATTCAGCTTTACCAAGGTTTGAATAGTGTTCAATTTTTGGTACTGCGGAGTCATTTTTTCATTGGTTCAAATTTAATAGATTGAAGAAAAGTTGTACACTCTTGGGTACTTGCTTTTGCAGTAAAACAAACACTGCATACAAGTACTTAAGATGTTTGTATTTTGTTGGACGCTTTTATAAATTTTTTTTTTCCCCAAGAAAAGGCCAATACACCACGAACAAAATAATGAATGAAATTTACATTGTTTGAACGAATTATGGTAATTATTGGTTGTCCTTAAAAAGTCAAATCTTGAAGAAGAATACATTTCATTTTTAATTAAATTATTGAAATTCTTGACATCATTTTCAAATATACTGACCGACTATAGAAACGCAACACTAGATTATTCTTTTTAATTTCCAAAGTTCGAAAGTTTTATTGATTACGTCAATTTTAATGTTCAAATTATGTGGTATTCACTGAAACCCTAGTTTTCCCCTTATCAGAAAATGTGTCACTGTCGTAAGCAATGACTGCCTGTAACCAACGCCAAAATGATTGTCAGAAAGGTCAACCAATTCTGTTGGGCATGTTTTGAGTTCTGTTTTGCCTTTGACCCCCCTTACAGTGTGTTTTGGCAATTATACGGTAGAAACTTTAGGGCTTTAAATGTTTTTCTGCAGTCGATTCCTTGGCATTTCAGTTTATGGGAAACATTTATGACATGAATTTGTGTGGCGTATCATTCGGCAATTTGAATAACAGTTGAAGTTGCGGCCGTAATTATGTCTCCCAAATGACTTGCGTAATCAAATTCTATTGACGTGGCGTTGTCACTACATATTGATCTGGTCATTGATGGTCATCCAGTATCGTTGTTGGAAGGACAGTAACACGAGTTTCTGACGTCAAATGGTCTGGTTACAGCATGTCCACGTTTTCCAGTCTGCAATATTCTTATCCGCGGATTCAGTTTTTCATTGCGCAGTCTTAGCCATATGGAGATGCAACATTTTAAAACTGATTTAAGTGTGGTATGGATTGAAAGAATTGTTCACGAAGAAAAAAAACCCTAAAAAAATTATTTATGGGTTTCAAATTTCGCTTTAAGCAATTCGTGCGACTTCAATAATCCGGTATGTTCACCACAGGTAAGTCAGATGTTGATTTTTTCTAATCAAAAAGAAGTATGGCAAGTATGGTAAGAATAGTAATTGTATGAGGATCAATCATGATTTGGTTAAAAAATCAACAAAATGAATGTTGCGTTTTTAAATTCCGTCAATATATGACTTACTGCCTTTTATGTATGCATTTAACTAAACACAATGTATATCACTCCAGAAATCAATGTTCATTATGTATTGAAATATTTAACTGAAATACACATACAATAAACACTTTTACACGCACTAAATAAACATGTCTTCACATGTACAAAATTAAAATCAAAACTTACATGAAATGAGTACAAAATGAAAATTATTTAGATTTATATTTTATGATCTTATGCACACTCATTTCAAATATAATTCTCTCGAACTTCTGTGTACTCTCAAAGTTATACCGTTATTGAAAAATGGTAAAAGGAAACCTTTGAAATTCCTACAATTTTGCTCTATGAAACCCATAAGAAAAAGAGTAACTACTATAATAGTTCACATGATATCTACACTTAGATAGGGACCGTTTCTGTTCTTTTTTAGCCGATGTATATGTATGTTCCTATGATAACTTATAATAAAAAACAAATGATAAAATCTAGATTATTTTAACATATATCATCGTCCTGAACATCCATGAAATACTTGCCACTGGAGCTTAAGCACCACCAATTTATCAATTTAACATGTGTCCAGATACATAAGTGATGGTTTGAATTATCTTAGTATTCCGTTTAAATGTTTGAGTCGAAGAAAAACACTAACCGAAGAAGCTGTAATTGTCAATTACAGAATCTTTACTTTCAGCGAAATGTTCAGGAAACGATTGCTGCGAGTGTTTCTCTCAATAATAATTTATTTTCAACGCGGATTTGTCAGTACCCCTTCTCGCTTACACATTCTTCACCAGAAACGTATGTAATCAATAGGGAAGTTTTAAACATGATGTTTGTTTTTCAGCTGTTTTTTTTTAAACAAATAAAATAAATTATGGTTATTATTTAAATGAATAAGAACAAAGTTGTCATTGGAGTTATAAAAAATATGATCTGTTTTCTTATGAATGTACTCTGCCGAAGGAAACGTATGTTGCGTGTTAATTGGTAGCAAGCACATATTCGTCGAAAGATAACAAGGGTTTGTCTAATCAGTAGACGAATAAAAGATATAGGTATAAATGCACATTAAAAATAAATAAAGAAGAAGTCCCTTTTGATGGTGATGTCATTGTTGCTATTGTCGTGTGCATATTAAAGATAT